GTGTGTAAATCCTGTTGATTTTCTCAAAGAAAGAGCTCTTTTTTTCATTGATTCTTTGGATTGTTTTCTGTGTTTCTATTTTGTTGATTTCAGCCCTCAATTTGATTATTTCTAGTCTTTACTCTTCCTGGGTGAGTCTGCTTCTTTTTTTTTCTGGAGCTCACAGGTGTGCTGCTAAGTTTCTAATGTGAGCTTTCTCCATTTTCTTTATGTGGGCACTTAGTGCTATGAAATTTCCTCTTAGCACTGCTTTCATAGTGTCCTAAAGGTTTGGGTATGTTGTGTCTTCATTTTCATTGAATTCAAGGAAGACTTTAATTTCCTTCTTTTTGTCTTTCTTGACCCAGGGATGGTTCAGTAGTTGACTGTTCAGTTTTCATGAGTTTGTAGGCTTTCTGGGGGTGGTATTTTTGTTAAATTCTAACTTTACACCATGGTGATCTGATAACACAGGTGGTTACTACAATTTTTTTTTGTATCTGTGGGTGATTGCCTTGTTACCGAGTATGGATCAATCTTAGAAAAGGTTACATGAGATGCTGAGAAGAAGCTATATTCTTTGTTGTTTGGGTGGAATGTTTTATAGATGTCTGTTAAGTCCATTTGATTCATAACTTCTGTGAGTCCTCTTATTTATTTTTATTATTTATTTATTATTCTCTATTACGTTTCTGTCTGGTTGGCTGGTCTTTTGGTGAGATAGGAGTGTTGAAATATCATACTATTAGTGTGGGGTTTGGTGTGTGATTTGAATTCTAATAACTTTTCACAGAAAGAGAGAACATAACTCAAAACATCTTATAAAATGTCCCTTTGTACTAGTCATTTGGGACTATATAATATAAAATATTATAAAAATATAATATAAAAAGATAACAATAAAGAAAACCTTGAGAGAATGTAGAGAAAAAGGAACACTTAATCACACTTGGTGGGATTGCAAAACTGTAAAACTGCAAACCACTGTGGACAATTCCTTGAGAAGATGACAGTAAATCTAGCACATGGAACAATGATACCACTCTTTGTCACATGCTCAAAGAATTTGATTTAATATCCCACTAATAATTTCTCAGTAATGTTTAGCTGCTCTATTCACAATACCTAGGAAATGGAACAAACTGAGAAATGGATAATGAAAATGTGTTACCAATGCACTAGGAAATAAGATTTAGCTGCAAATAAACACGCAATCATGACCTTTAAACATAAATGAAAAAAGGAAATATTATACTGAGTGAGGCAACCCAGATCCAAAAAGAAAATAAAGAACCACAAAAAACACAGACATCATATTTTCTTTTTCATCTGCAGTTGCTGGCTCCAAATCAAGAGATAAGTATATAAAGTTGAGTAAAAAAAAAAAGAGAGCTATCAGAATGTGTAAACGGACTATGTATAAAGTGGGGTTTGAGGATTGGGAGGTAAATGACAACATAAAGGTTCTCTAAAAATGAAAACATAATCATAGTGTCAAGTTTCCAAGTTGGGTGAGGGAGATCTTTTAATACAATAAGGCATGGGGAGGGGGAGTGAAATAACATCAAACTTGTTTGGGCAAGCTTCAAAGAAATATATATATATATATATATATAAATATATATATATGTATGTGTGTGTGTGTGTGTGTGTGTTTGTGTGTGTGCATCAAGAAGAATCAAAATAAAAGGCTGTAAGTTTTGTGGGTGTATGCATACAAGATGTTTCATTCAGGGTAGGTAGGTGGGAGGGACTTGCGGAAGGAAAGAAAGAGGGAAAATGATGTAAGTTGATGACAACTGAAAACAATAAAATGCAATAAAACAGCACCTCATATCTAAAAAACACAGTTAAAAATTTGACATTTGTGTTGAAAGTTTCTAATATCACAGATGACTGAACTTCATATATTTTGCATCAAGACGATATGTTACTTGAGTGTGATTCATTTAAATCTTTTCAATATTAACCATGTTATTTTTCGCTCTGTTGAGGATTATTTACTTTTATTTTCATTACATATCTTGAAGATCATTTAAGATATTTCCATATATGCATAGTTTCAATTGAGTAACTCCCGACAGCACCCTTTCCTCAAAGCTATGACTTATGAAGCTAGTGTCTGCCAAATTAATTTTGTAAAAAGAAAAATAAATACAGAGAAAAGAAGAAGCAGAAGAAATTATAAGGAAGTGTATTGTTTTTCTCTGTGGGATGTGTGAACCTAAGAATCAACCATGTAAAATAAAGGACAAATAGCTTCATCTGTGTAAAGTTGTATTTGCCATGGAAGATATTGCCTGAGATTTCTCCTTCTAGAAAAACCTTAGTATAAAGTCTGTCATCATACTGAGAGAAGGATCTGAGAATGCAATGTGTCTTTAGATAAGGAACTTATGTGTAAATATCCTGGGTGTTTTAATTCTGAGACCATGGAATTCATAGTTACTACTCTGTGTAGAATACTGAATACAAGATCAAAATAAACCCTTAAGGTTCATCACCCATAAAAATGATATAGAATAAAAATCAGCATCATATGAAAGAAATGAAAAAATTGGAAAAAATGTTCATAAAACAGATGGAGGATTATATTTATAACAGATACTAATTTAAATTGTAAAATCTTTTGATTCCTTTAATTTTAAGATACTATATTATAACCAAACCAAATCTCCTTACATTTCTTCCTTCAGAAGCATTTCAAAGTTCCTCCTTTCTCTGACATTATTTGGGACTTCTTTAAAAATTAGTTGCTGTCATATTCAAAATGGTGAAAATTTGACGAATATGACTGTTATGTGAGTACAGATAGAAGAAAGGGAATTGGAGTGAATGAATTTGCTTAGTGTTCCATAAAGCTTTTCAGAATATGAAATCCTTAACTAGGTTTGTACATATGTTTATACTCAAGCAAAGACACAGGCAGTTTCTTGACACATTAATGTTAGAGAGGAAAGGAAGAAGGAAGTAGGAAGTATATAAAAACTGTCCTGATTTGACCTCCACCTGAAAGATGAGACAAATTGCCTAGGATTGAACATGATGCCAAAACCGCAGGGAACTGTTGATGTTGGGGCCTCTGAGGTTATTTGTCACTCAACTGAAAATAAAGAATATTCTCTTTTCAAACTCTCATGGTTCATTCAACTTTGTGCTCTAAACCTAAGTATGGTTTTCAAAAATAATTTGTATCTTTTTATAATACATTGGGAGAAAATGTATATATTAATTTGGGAATTTAAAAATACATTGTATAATGGTAAATGTAAAGGAGAGAGTTGTCAATGGGTATCTAGAAGATTCTTTGTATTGATTTTTATTATTATTTTTTATTATTGATTTGTTATTTTATTTATTATTTTATTATAATTGATTACTATTTTATTGATTTTCTCTGCTCCCCTGTATGCCTTTGCCCTCCCTTTCAACCCTCTCCAATGGTCCCCATACTCCCAAGCTCCCAATTTACTCGGGATATCTTATCTTTTACTGCTTCTCATATAGATTAGATCCATGTATGTCTCTCTTAGCATCCTCATTTTAGGACTCACTTCCTACCTTGGAATTCATATGCATGTAAAATCATTCAGTGATATAAGAGTCCACAAAATTGAAAGAGATGAAGGGGATGCATATTGGAGGGTTTAGAAGGAAGAAAGAAAGGAAAGCGGGGAATCTTGTAATTATGCTATAATCTCAACATTAAAAGAAATAGACATAATAATAGGATAGTAGTTAAAGAAAGTGTCATGAAGGGCTGACTGATTCTTTATAATGATGGAGTTAGTAATCATTTGTTCTCAACCGAAAATATCAAATTGCTAACCGTAGGTTATGCCACGTATCAGAGAGGGAAGCAACAGAGGACAAATCTTGATATGTATGGTTGTTCCTAGAAATGAATGATAGGATCCTATGGCTAAGCACAACACAGACCTTAGTTTTGATGTGCAAAGAGGTAAACTGGGCAGGGAGGGTCCTTGCTTTAGTAAATATAATCATATTTCCTAAATGCAGAGTCCCGTCCATTTGCACATTGTACAGTTTTTTTTATGAGTGCCATTATTTTAATAGACTGTTTCATTTAATTTGTTTTCTTTTGGTTAGTGATATCTGTATTTATTGCCAGTGGACATCTAGCAACTTTTTTTTCCTATTATAAATACAGTTAAACTTTGGTGATATCTCTTGTAGATCTATACAATAGCCATTAAATTCAGTATACTGGAAGAATAAAGTAGTCAATATATTGGTAGACTTAAAGGTAGCACAGGATATATCAATACCCTTCGAGGAAATCCTCGTCATGTTTTTCCATCTTATCTTCTAACAGTGTGGTTGCTTTGGCTCATATAGCCCAGGCCACACCTTAAAATTCATTTAACTGGGCTGGAGAGATGGATCAGAGGTTAAGAGCATTTCCTGCTCTTCCAAAGGTCCTGAGTTCAATTCCCAGCAACCACATGGTGGCTCACAATCATCTGTAATGGGGTCTGGTGCCCTCTTCTGGACTGCAGGCATACACACAGACAGAATGTTGTATACATAATCAATAAATAAATATTTAAAAAAACAAATAAAAAATTCATTTAACTGCACAGTGTTAGGATTAGATTCAGAATGTATTTTAAAGTATGTGCCATGGTTTTAAATGAATCATATATGACATATCTACATGCATTGTGACCTTTACCCACAAGTATAGCTCTGGAGGCAAAATGATTACTTAAATTCTCTCACAGGGACAGATCTTTCTTTCTGAGAGGAATGTTCAATTAATCATCCCAACAGAACCTGACCTTTAGCCTAATCTTATTAGTTTAGGGGTATGAGATCATACGCCGTTCAGCAGGGTGAAGTGAACATACTGGACAGATGCAGGCTGTTGTGGTGCAGAACCATTGGTTGATTCCAGGAGACTCCCTCTAACTAACTGTATAAAAAGCTTTTCAGTTCAGTTCCTTCACAACCAATACCCTTCTTTGATCTCCTGTGGAAGAGCAAAGGCAGGCACCACCATGGTAAAGTTTCTGCTGCTTGCTTTGGCATTTGGTCTGGCTCATGCTCAGGCTGAGGTAAATTCATTTGATCTGTGCACAGGTTTGATATTCTTCAATAGTTTAGTTCTGTGGGTGCGGGTGTCATTCAGTTTGTCCTTGCAAATACATATTCATGATATAACCTTTCTGACTTTCACTCAGATACAATTTTCCAGCCAGATTTCTCAAAAATCAAACGAAGAAAATAAAAAAAAAAACCAATGGATTGAATTTGCAGAGCATAGGAGACCAAATATGAGTAGTTCCAAAATGTCTCAAGTTCAAAATGTTATGTAAATTGAGTTATCATATTGTCCCAAGTTATTCTTCTTCCCCAGAAGCATAATTTTGAACTAACAAACAAACTCTTATTGATTTATATTTCTCATTAGCTTATGTATTTCCAAAGATTCGAATCAGAGATGAAAGTAACAACTCAAATTCCAGTGGCCTTTGTTGTTTTTTCAGCTTGAAGGAAAGTGGGTTACCACTGCCATCGCTGCTGACAATGTGGACAAGATAGAGGCAGGAGGACCACTGAGACTCTATGTTCGTGAAATTACTTGCACTGAGGCATGTAGTAAAATGGAAGTCACATTTTATGTCAAGTAAGCAAATTGTCAACAGTGTAACCTGAGCAGACTGCTTACGTTTCACAGATTTTTCTATTGTTAAGCGTATAGGTGAATGTTCTGTTTCTGGTCATGAAACTGAAAATCTCATCTTCAGAAATGCAATTTTGTTATTTCATGATGGGTTAGCTCTGGAGACCACAGGAAAGTAAAAATCTGTCTCCAATTCTATGAGCTTTTCCTGAGAAATTCTTCTGGCTGGAGGCCTGTGGCTGAATTTTATGCTCTAATATTAAAATCATGAGATTCTAAGGATCTCATTTCTAGTTAGCCAAAAGGTAGGTGTGAGCATTTGGGTCAATGTCATGCATGTTATATTATTCAGGCATAGGTGTCATAAAATATTCTTCCACAAACAGGTCAGAAAAATCTAATTTGCAAATCCATGCCTGGTATGGGAAGTACTTCTCTATATGTGTTGTTTTTATTAGTTAATGGATAAAGAATCTACCTTGGCCTGTGATAGGGCAGAATATAGCTAGGCGGGGAAAACTAAACTGAATGCTGGGAGAAAGAAGTCGGTGTCAAAGAGATATCATGTAGCCGCCAGAGGGAATAGACGTGAGTTGCCAGCCGGAACTTTGCCAGTAGGCCACGAGCCTCATGGAAAATATAAAATAATGGAATTTGGTTAATTATAGATGATAAAGTCATTAGCAATATGCTTAAGTGATTGGCCAAGTGGAGATTTAAATAATATAGTTTCTGTGTGATTATTTTGGGTCTGAACTGCCAGAAACATGTCTGTGATGCTCTAGTTTCAAAATTTTTTTTCTGACATTTAGATGACAATGTTCAATGAAAAGGTGCTTAACACTGTAAAAACTTAAAATGTTTATAACCATTATTTTTTTCTAGCCACAACTATTGTTTTTGGTTAGACACAAAAGCATTTAAAACACATTCATAAAATCTTGTGTACATATTTATTGTTGGAACAGTCAAAGAGAATGAACATATTGAAAATCATACTCCGTGAATACTGAAATTTGGATAAGGAATAAAATAGTCTTCATAACAATTGGGAAAATTGCTACAAATAAAGAAATTCATATGTATGATTGCAAACAGGATAATATTTTCTAAACAAACATTATGAAAAGTGAGGTAAACAGTTTCATCTCTTCTAGCTCTGAACACTGTTCATAGATATGAAAATATCTCATGTTCTGTAATATTTAATTAAATATTTAATATTAATTCAAAGGATAAATACAATAAACCATGATTCCTCTGTTTGATTTTCAGTGTGAATAACCAATGTTCTCAGACCCAAATCACTGGGTATAGGCAAGAAGATGGCAACTACAGAACCCAGTGTAAGTATGGGATCTTGGCACTTCCTCTATGAACAAAAGCATTGTGGGTGAGGGCATACATGCTGACACTTCAGCCACGGATAGATACATGGACCTAGAACAATTTTGGTTACTGGGAATGTTATCAGTCCTTCCAACCAACGGAGATATGATATGAAGTCAGAGTACATTGTAGGTCATCTGAAGTTTACATGGAGAAGTACACAATAAAGTAACGACACGAGTAATGCTAACAAAAAGTCTCCAAATAGTTTCCTGCATGAAAATTTACTTCTAAACAATATTCAGTGTCTTTTCTTTCATACAGTATTTTGGTTTGTTATTGGACAGGCCTGCCGCTCACTATTAGGTCTCGGTGGCCTCAAACATCTTTGCAAACTTCATGATTCAGTTCATCAAGTACTTATATTACAAGGATTATCTATCATCCTAGATTTATAGAGGATTTTAATTAACGATGATATAAGAAAGTTTCCCTTTCTTACATTTTATAAACATCATAACATTTAGATCACTGGATGATCAAATTGACTTTTGAAAAGCAGTTAGGGTAAAATCTGTTTAATAATTTCAAACTTACTACCCCAAATTTGAAAAAAAATGCTAAAATAATATCAACACTATTCAACTGAATTGTACACAGCATAACTTTTGGCTTGATTTTAAATGAAGAGAAGGCACATTCTTCTGGCAAAAATAATGCTTTTCTAACCTCACATGGATATTAAAAAGCAGTCCTGTAACAGAAAATGACCAGATCCTAAAATCCACTTATTTCTGTGAACCATTCTATCATTCATTGAGTATCTGTAAGTGAAAATATCATAGACACACACACATAAAACACACACACACACACACACACACACACACACACACACCAGAGAGTTTTTCATCTTACAAGTTGTAAGATGAAAACTTTTGTGCATATTTCTAATGAGTACAGTCTTTTTTGCATATGTATCCCTTTGCCCACCAGGTATTATTATGGTATGACACCAAAGTTTTACACTTTCAGGAAACTGACAAGTGGCCTTTTGTATCTGATTGAAATGGGAAGAATTACCCAACAGAGTGATCCCAGAGGTCTTGACACAGGAATTCAGAGAAAAGGGAAAGTGTCTGTACCTAGGATTCAGTACCAGGTTTAAAGAGTAAGAATGATTGGTTACCACATTATGATAGGATATGTAAAATGAATGACTACAAGAATACCTTTATACATGTGTGTCATATGATAGTGAATCAGAGAATATTGCAGAGTCAGGGTCAATATTAATGTTTAGTCAACAGGTAACATCCAACAAAGTAGAGAAATGGATGACACTGAGTTTTGAAATGTGTCTGTTATTGCAGTTGAAGGGGATAATGTATTTAAACCTGTGAGTGCAACAGAAGACAACATAGTCTTTACCGGTGCGAATGTGGATAGAGCCGGCCAGACAACAAACTTGATTTTTGTTGTTGGTAAGAATGGTAGTGGGTTTCCTGTAACAGTAACAAAAGTACGACCCTGTAAATGAGGATTAAGTCAGATTCACCCACCAAATACAGTATCCTGTTATTTCCAAACTCTTATCAACTAAATAACAGTCCATTTGTTTTGTGAGCCAATTTTTACATTATACTGTAATTCAAGTAGCATGGTCATTGAAGACTAGGGACGATGGCGGGGTGGGGGGTATTGGAAGAGTTGATGTTCGTGTTTCCTCACTGGAAAGAATAGAGTAAAATGGAGTATTTTCCCACAATTCAGACCATTTTGAGTTCATTTGTTCAAGTGTGTACTAAATTAAAACATGAACTCTAGAGTATAGATTTGGGAGAAAAGTGAAGCTTCCATTCATAGGCATCTGTGACTCTCTAGTGTTATGTTTTAGAAAGTGGGTAGGATTGAGATGAGTGAATTCTCTAGAGAAGTTTTTATTTTTAATTTTTTGATGCATCATGAAATGCTGAAAAGTGATCTCATACCGTCATTTAGACATTTTTAAATGTGTCCATGGAACTCTCAAAAATTATTATTGCCTATATTGACTCACCCAGGGTAGTTGAAATTAGAGCAGTTGGTATTTTTATTCTATGTAGTGGTGGGATACTAAAGACGCAATGTAAATTCTCCAGAATTCTACTGATCATGTCTCTGCCATTGGAATTCATGCAATGTAGGAAAAGGTCAACCTTTGACTCCTGAACAACATGAAAAACTTGAGGCATATGCTAAGGAACGTAGCATTCCACCAGAAAACTTTCAAGATGTTCTTGCTACAGGTAACCTTAATTAATATATTTGTCCATAGCATCCATAAATACATACATACATACATATGTATACGTATAACAATGGATATTCATAAATACATGTATGTGTATCTACATACTGAGTCTGTCTCTCTATGTATCTGTTTATGTATTGATGTATCTATTATTCTATGTATCTATCTACCTACTTATCTACTCAGTAAGATCTCTGAATGATGTTATATCTAGCTATATGTTATCTTTGAGTTGTTCTTTCCAGCAACATCCCCTGGGGAGCTGTTCTCGTATTCTTATGAGATCAGTTCTGTTAATCCTTACTCCATTCAACTACTTTTACAGATACTTGTCCTAAATAATGATCTTCTGTAGGTGAGTAGAAACAGAAGGCATGTCTAATCACCTTGATATTTGAGTGTATTTGTGCTTATTATTTAAAAAAAAATGGAGACAAGTATGGGACCAAGGGAAAAATGAATGCAAAATAAAGACAGGTTATTATTTGTCTTTTAAAAATGAAAATCTTACTGTGACAAAACCGAAGGATAGCATATGTTTATTTATAAAGCAGTTTGAAGGACATTTATTCATAATTGCTAATATTTTTGGTATAGAAGAATATTCCGTCATTAAAAGTGTGTCTTGACATTTGAGAAATCCTACTTTACTCATGACTGTGGCATATGATTTGTCACAGATATTGTATAAGCAGGTTGATCTTTTCAATAAATTCATTTAAACCTGTCAATATAAATTGTCGTATAAGATTAAAGAGTGTCATATTTCCTGTCAACAGAGCTCCTATAGAATTCAAAGCACAAGATATTGGTGATTTCTAGGGAAGAAACTGTTCATGGGCAATCCCTTCTCTATACTCTATATTGTTATATTTAATTTTGTATTCATACATTCCCAAGGATGAAAATTTTCCTGTCTGACTAACCATGTTTTAATATTTGCTTTCATGTCTGCAGAGATGACAACAGGATGAGAATTACACATCATGTCCTCTTTACCATGGAATTAGCATCACATACAAATCCCCATTTCTTTCTGAATAAATTTCCCCTTGACTATGAATTCAAGATACCACCATCCAAAGTCCTGACTTACTTTTCCTTTCTCTTTGTATGATCTATGAGCTGTTACTTTTTGAATGATTCAATAAAATGTTTCAAGAAGCAATGAGGACCTTGTGAAAAGGATTTCATTTAAAAACCACTTAAACCTTCACTAAGATAATTAAAATCACCACTCGGCTGTAAGAAATGATGTCTGTATTACTAGAACTTACTGTAATAATTGGAAACTTTACAATTCCTGGAGAGCCATGGGCAAGAACTCTGCTGTGGTAAATTGTGTGTTGTGCTCTTATTTACCTTCAGCTGAAAATTTGTTATTTGCAGATGAATGGTCATAAAACTTTAAAAGATTTCACACAACAAACTCTTTGGATCTGCCTCCATGTTACACATTATTTAAAATAAAGGGTAAAATATGTTTTCAATAGTTCATATGAGGAGATTGTCTCTTGTTAAATGACTTCAGTAAGTAAGCAAATGAATCAAGATATTCTCAATAATGTAAATCTGAGGAGTCATTCTCACTTGAAGAATAAGTTCATGAAAATTATAACAATCCCTATAAATATTCATATATTTATTACAATTTTCTGTTTGTGATACAATGATTCATTAGAATGTAGTTAGCTCTCAAAATAGAAAGCTATAGAAAAGGCAATGCAATTTTTTTTTATTTTCGAAGCAGGGTTTATCCGTAGCTTTTGGTTCCAGTCCTGGAACTAGCTCTTGTAGACCAGGCTGGCCTTGAACACACAGAGATCCGCCTGCCTCTGCCTCCCGAGTGCTGGGATTAAAGGCATGCACCACCACCGCCTGGCTTCTTTGAGAGCTTTAAACAAGGAAAAAGAAAAGATATTAGACAGTGTCGCTACATCCGGTCTCTCATCTAAAGATATAACCAAGTCAAGTACATTCAATATTCATAGGCAACAGATATGAATTAGAAAGAATGAAATAGTTTCTTGTTGACTAAAACATGTTATTTAACCTTTCTTCTGTTTCTTTAAAACACAGTGACGTCAGAACAAATACTGGACTAATGTTTGATAAAAGTTCTGTATATCCAATGTACATTTACATCACTTCACACAAATCTCAAAATAATTACTACTATACTTGTGTCCCATCTCTTCTTCCAATTTTTCCAAGTTCTTCAGGAATATTCGCATTTATTTAAAAGTATGTGTGAATGTGTGTGTGTGTGTGTGTGTGCCTGGATGTGTATTTAAAGAGAGGAGATTGATAGAGAAATTTATAGCCCATATGAGTCCATTTAGTATTTCTAATATGGATTCATGTTTAGTGCTGGACTCTTGGTCTTCAATTACTTACAACTTATGAGTGGTCTCATTTTAGAGGTAAAAGGAACATGGCTACTTCTTTTACTATCAGAAGTTGCTTTCTATGTTGCCAAGCTTTCAAATGGCATGAAAGTTCTTAAGCTCACCATTCACATCGTCATAACATAGCTAGTTTGCGCAATCTGAGAGGTAACTCAGTGGTGATTAGTTGAACTTTCATCCTGAGCTATAGAAGATTAATCATGCTTGGTTCCATAAACATGTCCAACTACCATTGTTGATTTCATCAACCAGTGTAATTTCTCTGAACATTCTGAATGTTAAGTTCTTAACCAAGACTTTAGAGATGATTTAAATATCGATCCTAGTTTGTAGTACTCTCATGTTGACCAAGATAATCTTCCTTCATCAATTTGTAGAGTGTATTATTATTTCTGCAGATATATTCTTATAATAGCCAGAAACCTCTCAAAGCAGTCAGTTTTGCAAGTTAAGAATTCCAGGAATTCTTATTTCTCTGTGTTCTCAGCAAAATAAACATGAAGAAAACAAATGACTTCTTTCCAAACCTGGATTATAGATCAAAAAAGCGTGTTCTCAGAAAGTGAAACACAAAGGTCTGAGAGACACTTAAAAGTGTTCAATATTCTTAGGCATTAGGGAAATAAAATTAAAACTATTTAGATATTTTGTCTTACTGGTGTCAGCATGGCCTAGCTCAATAAAAGAAATGATGCATGGAAAGGGCTGCACTTGGTCCAGGTATGTGGAAGTGAAAACTGATTCAGCTGCTGTCAAAATCAATGACGAGTATCCTAAAGATGACATCAGTCTTACCACAAGTCCTTCAAAGAAGAATTACAACCCAACTATCTTGACTTTTTTTTTTTCAAGAATCTACACAGATGACCCCAGCTAAGAATCTAAGCAATAGTGGAGAGGGTACCTTGCTGTGAGACAATGGTCTTCTACTCTGTAAAAATTTATCAGTTATATTGCTTTCATGAAATGCTGATTGGCCAATAGTCAGGCAGGAAGCATAGGAGGGGCAGCCAAGTAGGAAGTAGAGGTAGGGAAATGAGAACAGGAGAATTCTGGGAAGAGGAAGACTCAGTCTGCAGCTGACACCCAGATACAGAGGAAGCAAGATGAGAATGCTTCCTGATAACAGGTTTCAAGCAACGTGGCTAATGCACACATTAATTATAGGCCAATATAAGTTATAAGAGTTAGTAAGAAGCCTGAGCTAAGAGGAAACCAGCGAATGTTAATGTACATCTTTGTGTGCTTTTGGGGGGGACTGAAAGGCTATGGGACCAGGCAGGACAGAAACCTCTGTCAACAGTACCTGAATTGGCCTTCCCCTCTAATCAGATTGATGACTATCTTAATTGTCATCATAGAGCCTTCATCAGCACCTGATGGAAACAGATGCATAGATCCACAGCTAACCACTGGCATGAACTCCTGAAGTCCAGACATAGAGATGGAGGAGTGATATTCCGAGCAAATGGGCCAAGTCTATGATGGGGAAACCCACGGATATAGCTAACCTGAGCATGTAGGAGCTCACTGACTCTATACTTATAGCTGAGGAACCTACATAAGAACAAACTAGGCCCCGTGAATGTGGGTGACAGCTGTGTGGCTTGGGCAATTTGTGGGGCCACTAGAAGTGGAACCAGTATTTATCCTCATGCATAAACTGGCTCCTTGAAGCCGATTTTCTATGAATGGTTAGCTTGCTCAACCAGATATAGGGAAGAGAGCCTTGATCCTGCCTCAAATAATGTGACAATCTTTGTTGACTCCCCATGTACGGCATCACCCTCTCTGAAAAGTGGATAGGGGTGGGGAGAAGATGGAGCAAATGGAAGGATGAGAGGGAGAAGAAACTGTGATATGAATATAAAATAAGATGATTTTTAAAATAAAATAAAATAAATAATTAAACTCCAGTCATACTTGGGAGGGAAGAACTTTTCCCAACTGAACCATTCCCCTAGCCTATGTGGATGTGAGTTTTTATTAGCATTGATACAAAAAAACCAACAGAATGTAAAGAATCACCTCCAAATATGTTATATATAGCCAGTGTTAATTTAATCCCTATCAAAGAACACACATGCACTTGCATACACACACAGAGGCATGCATTCATGTATGCATATGAACATTCATGCACATACAGAAAAACATAACTGGGATCATAGTGTTAAAAAAAACTTAATAAAATACTAGAAAATGAATATACACCCATATCAAAGGAATTGTTCACAATGATTAAGATGGATTTATTCCAGGGATACAGGCTTGATTTAAAATACATAATTCTATAAATATAATGATCATACAACATAATTAAGGTAAGAAAGCACATGATTAATTCAATAGATGAAGAAAAAGCCAGTGATAAAATATATCATACTTTCAAGATAAAATCCCCAGGGAGAGTCGAAATGGAGAAAATATACTTCAAAATATTAAAGGCTATCTCTGAGAAACATACTTCAAAATCCATTCTACATGTAGAAAACTGGCAAGGAAACTGACTAAAATCTTGAAGAAGAGAGAGTGCCCACTCTCCCTATTCCTTTACAATGTCATGTTGGATTTCTTGCAGTGAGCA